ATGTCCATATGTGTATTGCTTGCGAAACCTCCTTCGGGAAGGTTCGAGCTTCCGTAACGTCCCTGTTCCAAGTAGAACGGGTGCGTTTCCCCAGTGTTATCCAGTCTACTCAGTGGGTCGTGCCATAGTAGCAGTAGCTGGTCCTCTTGTGCAGGCCCTGGCCTACGCCAAAAAATAGGGGCGTAGATGGCTTCCACAGGACACTGGAAGGGACGGTAGCTGTGGCCTTTGGTAGGATCCCAATTCGTCAGTCCTCCGACGTGACGTCGAGAGTGACCGACTGAAAGGGAACGTCTCGGTTACGTATGTAACCCTCGTTCCCTGAAGGAGGGAACGGAGACGTCACGTCCCGTCGCCACAGCTCCTGTACCACCGCTGAGCGGCCGGGTCACCGGCTCGGCTCCTCAGCGAAAACCTGAATATGCGCTGCACCTGCTGCCTACTTATACTCACGCTGTGATCAGCAGCAGCTGGATGCAATAATCGCATGCCAATGTGCATTGGCTCATTTAGTTTACACTCAAAGTAGATTGGTCCCTCTAAGCGAGATCCCAATTCGTCGGTCCTCCGACGTGACATCTCCGTTCCCTCCTTCAGGGAATGAGGGTTACATACGTAACCGAGACGTTTTTTTTTTGCTTCATCTTTGGTTAGTAAATTAGATGTTGTTGTTCCTAGATCATCGTTTCCTAAGATTTACTGAGACTTTTACTTTTTTTTTGAAAAGGTTATATTAACATGGCAATTTTGGACTGTTACAGTAATGCAATTTCATTATTGGCCTTTTTTGTGACTTCTATTGTTGAAGAAATGTATTTATTTGGAAGTATTTGTAATAGTATACAATTATAATATATACAGTAGTATACTAATATAGTGCTATAATATAGAAAAATAATAGTGCTTTTTTTCTACATAATATGTGTGTGTACTGTGTATATTTATTATGTATATGTAAATACATACTCATACTGTATATATTTTGAAAATATTTACATGTATATATTTATATTCATATAATTTATATTATATATAAATATACGTAATGTATATGCATAACATATTTTTCTTAAATATATACATGCATGTATGTGTATTTATATAAACAAAAAATATATATACACAGTACACACATGTATATTATGTAAACAAAAACTTATTTTGGATGGGATTAATCGCGATTAATCGTTTGACAGCACTAGTAAATAAAACGATTATGATGTGATCTGGAGAAATGCACACAATGAGAAAACAGATTTGAAAAGGCTTAAAGTCAAGATAACCTTGGATTTTAAGAATAATTTTGTTGGATGATACACTTTTCAGGGTTTGTAGAGTTTGTAGGACCTCCAAGTGTATAAATGTATATGTTCATAAAAGATCAAATGAAATTAATCAGAGGAGAGAAGGACACTTTTTCCAGAAAAAGCTACTACTATAGAAAGTTAAAAGTGAATAAGGAATAGGTACGCACACATTTGAACCATGTACTTATAATATGTGTATCCACAAAACTGAAAACACATTCCTTATTCAGTAGGTCTGTAATAAAAGTTACACAAAAATGGTATGGCACGGTACGTTAAGAAAACCATGTAGCTTTACGGCTCTTTGGGACTCCTTTTTAGGAAGCCCAAAATATCCTTGGCTACTACAG